TTTTTTTTTTTTTTTTCCTTTCCTTCCAAATAACACTCCTACTGTTCAGGCTTAAATACCAAAACCTTATGGCTCGCAGAACCAGTGCCAAAACGTCCATCATCAGGAAGACTGCAGAGATAATGGCTCCTGTTGGTCAAATCAGAATAGCTTTGAGCTTTGGTCTCCCCCAGAGGGAGAAGAAGATAAAGGCTGAAGTTCTCTAACACTTACTCGATTTGCTTAAGGTGGATAAAACTACACATAGACCCTTAAGTTCCTAGAGGGTGGGTGACCAACTCAGGAAAAGCTCACAGAATGAAGAGGTTGGCTTGGATCTGCAAAGTCTATGAAATACCCTTTCAAAGACATGGTGAATGTGTTATCTCAAAGCCGGCGCCCTGGTGGCTCATGGAGTTTAGCCTCCTGGGTGGTGGTTACTGTCAGCCTCCCTGGACAGCCAGAGGCCAGGAGGTCCCAGATCTCTCCACCAGCACCTTTCGATCCATCAAGGAACTTGACCCTTGTTGCTGTCCTGTGGGGTGGCCTTTTTTACAGATGAGCAAATGGAAGTCACAGATAACCCTGTTCATAGTCACAAAACTCCTAAGGGTCAGGAACTGGTATTTTAATTCAGGTGTGTGTTTCTACTCCTTAATGGCACATATGAACCTGCTTTTACACAGTGAGGTCGGATAGAGAGGTCACTAGTCTGACAGCAAATACACGAGGTGTGATCAGAAAACATGGTTGATGATTAAATTATAAATAACAGATTTATTGAGGGCTGGGGATTTAGCTCAGTCACTACCGGTCTCGCAAGCAAAAGGTCCTGAGTTCGATCCCCAGTAACCACTCCCCCCAAAAATGATGTATTGAAGTAAAAGACCTATTGCCACGAATCGCCCTCAGAGTCTTGCCCCTTATGTCAAACACACTTAATCCTTCGTCCTCGCCACTTTCTGAAGCAGCTCTGAAAGTCCTGTTTCCTGAGGGTCTTTAGTTGTGCTGTTGTGGCTGCCTTGATGTCCTATATGGATTCGAAACATTCACGGCGATTACTGGCAAATGAAGACATCACACTGTGCCCTCGTCCACCTTGTTCACCGGATCTGGCATCGTGTGACTTCCAGCTGTTCCAGAGAGTCACAATGGACCTGAAAGCGAACGTTTTGAATGGAGCTGCTGCGGGAAGCGGCCAGGATGGTGGGATGACAGTGCTGGAAGTGAAGGGGAGCATTCTGAGTGGGGTGAATGGCAGCGTGCCTTTTCTGTAGCGAGAGTCCACACCCCACACTTGGACAGGTCTTTTCCAGCTCACTGGAAGAATGGGAGGAGGGCAGAATCTGTCTGGGATCCTGTGGGTCAAGGCTGGTGGCCTGGCTTTGACGTCGCTCAGGTGGAGATGCTCACTTAAACTTCAGGCCTTTGGGAAACAATTATTGTGCATCACATCTCAAGGGGAAATTATGGATAAGAAACTTTTCACACAAAATAACCAGCCTTTCTTTAAAAATACGTGGCCTCGGTACGTCATGCTTTTCAGGGAGGTTATTATTCATATTTTAGAATATTTCAGGCTTTTGCTATCAATTAATCTGAGAAGCTGAACATGTGCCTGGTTATCTGAAGGAATGAATCTTAAAGCCGAGAACAGAATTCCTCAGAATCGGCACAATCAGTTAATGAGCTTGCAAATTGAAATGATCTTTGCTGCTGCCCAGGAATGAGTGGCAATTAGTGTCCGGGGACGCCCGGGGAGCCATGTTGCTGTTCACCATGCCAAGAATCCATTCATTTGTCATCAGTCCCAAGTTACGTTCAATCAGCAATTCAAACTCAGGCTGGAAAAACCGAGTGACATATAGTTAACGCCCTGTGAAGTCAGTGTTGTAAAATAAAACCCGCAGTCCTGGCGCTGTTAACTGTGAGCGGCAGTCGGGTGAAGTCGTGAAACTGGGGAATGGAGATGCTGTCAGGGTCAGTCCCTCCCAGCCCTTCTGACCCTTTGCGGCCTTGCTGAGATGCCGCCCACTCCCCAGGTCCCCGAGGCTGGTGTCCGAGCGCAAGGGGCTCCTTCTCTGGCGGCGGGAGGGAGCTGCTATGCGGCTTCCCCAAGCAGAGCCCCAAAACCTTGTCCATTCCTCATCCCTGGCCTCAGCTGCAGGGAACCCCGGTGCAGGTCCCTGTAGCAGCTTGGCCTCAGTTGTGTTTCTTCCTATGTGGGGCTGTCTGTGCTTTGGTTTCACGGTCTGGACTTTGTGCTCTGTAGGATCCCCGCTGTCCTGTCCTGACTACAGCCCCCTCCAAAAACCTCTGCCGTCTATGGCTCGGGATGAAGGAGAAAGGCACCGTCCATGGAGAGGGGCCTGGCTTTTGTCTGCTTTCTCACCTACCTGTTCCTGGGACAGGGAAGCAGGCAAGCTGAGGAGCCTGCATGAAATAATCGTCCCCTTTGTCTGTGCTGCATGTGGCAAGTAAACAGGTTGGAAGTCCCCTTTGCAGAGTCTTGGTGGGTAAACAGTTTGTTCCTGGCCAAGCCCAGCAGTGACAGGATGTGGGCTGCTGTGGCCATTTGGCAGACAGCCACATCTGTCACCAAGGAAGTATAGAAAGCCTGCTTATCTCTGTGAACAGGTGAAGCAGAGGTGAGCTGGGTAAGGTCTGGGGTCACAGACCCAAGCCCTGGGCAGTGCAGGCAGAGTGGGAGGTGTGGGAGCCGTGGTGTTGGTTGGGTCGGGATTTGGGTTCCCATGTGGCGACTTATTGAAGTTCACCTAAGGCTCTGACTCACACGGTTTCTAGTGCCTGCATAGAGTGTGTCATGCTGGAGAGACCAGCAGAGGCAGGCCTAACGTGTAACACATCTGCGCCAAGCTGTAGGGGCAGGGAGGGGGCCAGGGCCCTGGGGACCCGCAAGGCAGCACTAATGTTCTGTAATACGGTGAGCGTGTGTGTGTGTGTGTGTGTGTGTGTGTGTGTGTGCGCGCATGTGTGCGTACTCGTGTACTTAACAGACATAACCTAAGGGAGGTTAGTATAACCCTATTAAAATCATTTAGGATGATGTCGGGGTTTAAATTTTCAAAAACAACAGAAACTGCTTTTGACCATGACAGTCTACTACTACAGAGATTTTAAGTCTTCATAGTGCATTTGAGTTTTTTAGAGTATTGACTTGCATGTTTGCTGTAATGTGATGTTGAAAATTATCTTCTAAGTTTTGTTACCACACAGGACCTGCTGTGGTCAAACACATAGCTTTCTTTTGTCTTGACTTTAAGCGCCTGCATTAAGAGGTGATGTCTGTTCCTAGGACTGTTGCCCATTTGCAAACATGGTCAGCAAAATCAGCAGCAAAGAGTGTTGTTGGTGTTTTCCGTGGGACACCTACAGGGTATGTTAGTCTACATCTGGTGCTGTAAGGAGAAAGTTTATGTGTGATAATATGGGGGCACGTCTGTGTTGTTCTTTCATTGATGTAATATTTAATGTTGATCTTCTGGCCAGAGTTTGAAAGCCAGTGTTCTCCACTGGCCCACTAGTCCACTGTGAAGGCCTCCGGGGTGCGGCTCTGCTTCTGGTCACTGGGTAGCAGGCCAGTTTAGTAAGCTGTGGGGCTACAGACTCTGCAGGGCTTGGAGCGGCCCAGTGCTGCTGTGTGTAATACCACCCTATGTCTCTCCTTTCAGAAACTGAGCTGTCAGTCACTGCGGAGTTAGTGCCTACCTCACCGTGGAACATTTCCAGTGATCTTGACAAAGGTACGCAGCAGGGACACGGGGCCGAGGGGAGGCGCGATGCTCTGGGTGAGCCCTGGCGTGGCCGTCTTCACCGTTGACTGCGGCTCACGTCGCCAGGAGGAAATGGTGGCCAAAATAAATCCCCAGCTTACTTTGAGATCATTTAACATTTAATTACCTGGAATTCTCTTGTTTCTGAAAAGTTTTTTTTTTTTTTTAATTCTTCCTTTCCTTTCTTCTTCTAAAATGTTCCACATGGTAAAAATACTTCAAGATGTGAAATACGGTTGTTTCTGACCTTCCCGACTGCAGCTGATGGATCTTGCTTAGGGGATTGGGCCACCTCGAGCCAGGCTGAGGAGGCCGCGTCTGGTGACCCTCCAGGGGGAGCGTCCCACGTACTCGCTGGTTCCTGATAGAGCACTTGAAGCTCCATGACCGCCTGGCTAATGGAGGTCAGGTTCGCCATGCTTGAGGATGCAGGTTCCTGCTCTGACAATGTGGCCTGGTCTTAATGAGGCCCCTGTGTGCCAAGCACCAGCCCTCCCTGCAGAGATCCTTGTCCCCCACCCTCACTCAGGACGCTGTAAAAACCTGTTTACCAGCCTTTCTGTAGTCCCCTCCGTGGCCGGGCTGTGTCTCCAGTCGGACTCCTCTTGAGCTTCCTGTGCAGATTGGCCTCCACCTTCTGCAGGTCGGCACAGTATCTTTCCTTTATGACTGAGCACAGACATTATATGTCATGAATATGAACTAGAAATAATATTAGCAGTAATGATGAAGATGGATAAGGGGATCTGGAGATGGAGGGGAATAAAAAAGAGTCGTTATGTTCTGTGGTGCTCGCTTCGGCAGCACGTATACTAAAAAAGTTATGTTCTGAGCATGCATGTACCCCACCAAGATGAATGTAGACTTAGGTATAGCAAATATGTCCTGATAAAATAAAACTTCTAGGGCTGGGGATTCAGCTCAGTGGTTCTGCCGCCTGCCTCACAAGCGCAAGTTCGCAAGTTCTATGATTCCTGGTACCCACCCCCAAATCTAAAAAGGCAGCGTGACTCCGACACTTTGTACAGGCCTGCCTGTCCCTCACAGGAAGTGGCCCATGCCCTCTGCAGTCCCACAGTCCTTTTACCTGCTCTGCCTTGCATTCGCTAGATCACATCATCTGCCTCTCCCTCCCTCTGGCCAGAAGTTCCTTGGTAGAATTTTCTTCGGGCTTTCCTTCCTTCCTTTTCGGTCTCTGTCACAGAATCTTGCAGACTCTTGTCCTTAGTCCATTGTGCAGGGGAACGAGGCACATGCCGCTGTGCTCTGGCCCAGGCTCCCCTTGGAGTTCTGCACCCAATGGTAGAGGAGCCCCAGTCCACTTGCTTCTGTGGTCGGCTGTCTTGTCCATTCAGCTTTCCTGGGAGCTGAGTCCTCCCTGAGGGAAGATCTCTCATTTTATGAAACACCAGGGCACACAATTATTTTGCTGGTTATGCTTGATTGTGCAAAATGAAGGGATTTCCCCTTAAATCAAAGAACATTTGTTGTAATTATTTCTGTTGTCATGTTTGATCTGAACATTCTTTTGCTCCTGAAAGATTAGCACTGGGATTTCTGTTATTCCTGTCCATTTCAGGGATCCGCACAGAGCCCAGGAGGCAGAAGTTTTTCAGCAAGTATTTACTGAATCTTTCTAATGGAGAAGAGGAAGTAAATAAGTTAACCAAGTGATAGCTCTGTGTCGGGCCTGGTGCGAGGCACTGTCCACATGTGAACTTAGCTGCAGGCTCCTTACGGCACCACAGAAAACCCTTTCCCTGGCAGGGTGCATTACTGGTTGCGTTCCAGTAGTGGCTGCGTGAGGGCTCGCACCACGAGGTCAGCACAGCTGCCAGGAGGGAGCACAGCCGCAACCTTAGACCAGTGGCCTGAGTGTCAGGAGGGAGTGGATGGTGGGGAGTGGGACAGAGACAGGTCCCAGGTCCCTTTGTCCTTCGGCATGGCTTTTCAGAGCACCTGGGGGACTGCAGGGCCTCTTGGTGTCATCATTTGTAGGAGGTCATTGCAGTCTCATTATTAATTCCCATTTAGAAGCAGACAAAGCTGCTTAATTCACTTATTCATTCACTGAGCAAATCCTTCTTGATTCCTGCTCTAATCTGAGTACAGTTTGAAGAACTGGGATCTATAGAGCCATGTGCAGAAGCTTCCTGTCCTCTGTGAACTCAGAACCGCATGGGAAAGCCTTACATCCAGATGCATGATCAAAGCCTTTGGGTCCCTTTGAGAGACGGAGCTTTTGGGGAACGTCCTCCCCAGTCACAGAAGGATGCCAGAGGCCATAAACAGCGACATGGGCCGTCAGGCTGGTACACAGGAAGGGAAGCCCTGGATTCTGGGGGTTAAGAGCAAGCTCTGCGCTCCAGCCATGACCAGGGAGGTGGGGCTTTCAGCAGAAGGTCCTCTGTAAATGTGGTGAGCGTGGCGCTTCTGAGGGATGGCAGTGTCGGGTGCCACAGCCGTGCTGTGCCAGGCAGAGAGGAGAGCCCCGCTCAAGTGTGAGGTAAGGGAAACCACGCTGAAGCCATGGGATGAAAGTCCGCCACTGGGACCCAATCTCCAACCTCCACAGCACACGGGTGTGGGCTGAGGACTCCTGTCAGGTGCCACGCCAGCCACCAGCCAAAAAGGCAACACAAAAACTTGGGTTAAACTCTCCGACCCCAGCAGTATCAAACCAGCTCATTAAAAATGTCTCAGTATTCTAGTGCATGAGGATCTGTCTCCCACCAAAAGTGAAATTTAAAAAGATCAAAACTAACAGAAGTGGACAGGTCCTGCCAATGTTGACTTTACTTTTAAAATTTATAGTGAACGAAGAGGTGGGGAGACACCAAGAGTCAGCTGACAGAGCAGAGGGAGGGGTACGCACTGTAGGGACTAAAGGCGTGGGTCCCTTTGAGAGCGCACACCTTGGCAAATGTTTCACGGTGACAGATTTGAAAAGAATTGAAAAAAAAAGTTGTGGAAATTAAAAATCCATCAGATGTGTTAATTAGTAGATGAACTCAGCAATTGGTAGATGTACTCAGCTGAGGAGAAAAACAGTGAGCCGAAGGAAGGTGAGATAACACGTGGTTTAGAGAACCGACTGAGGCCAAGGTAGGAACCCCAACTCCACTGCTCATTTCCTGTGTGACTTCCTGGGCTTTGTGGTACTCATTTATAAATGGGATAATAAAAGTGCTACCTCATCTGGCCAGCAAATCTGATAAGCTGTGGAGAATAGTGACAGCTGAGTGTCCCTGTGCAAGGCCCATCTCCTCAGCTGGGCAAACAGAGTCTTCCTTAGCCCAGCACTTTCCCGCTCCTCTTAGCTCACCCCTCATCCTCATCCTTTTCGCGCTGTTTGTTTCACCCGCCTGCCTCCATTTCCCTAAACACAGCATTGCTTTCCAGTCTTTGTGCTTTGCTTGTGTCGGTTCCCTGACTGCCTTGTCCTTCAGCCCATTCTTCTTTGGGCGGCTCTTTCTGTGCTTACACATCACTTTAAACAGTGACGCCAGGGAGCACGCTGCTGCGTGAGACAGGCGCCTTCCCATGTTTGTAGACAGCCTCAGAGGAGATTCAAACTAAACAGATTCCCTCAGCTGCCCCATTGACCACAGTGCCGAAAGTGTGAGGTGATATGTTGCTCCATGTCTGTCTTGATCAACTCCTCACGGTATGGGAGTTATCTCGTCTGTGACTGCTCCTTTGAAGTCAGTCTGTCTTACCCATTGCTGTGTTTTTACTGACAGACACAATGCCTGGTATGCGGTAGGCAACATGGCTTCCAGTCATTTCCGTTCAACTCCAAGCTGTGCTGGTTCATAGCAGCTGTGTGTGACTGACCGTTGGATGCTAGGAACTTGCTAAGCAAGTGGTGTGCATTTATTTGAATGCACGCCACCCTGTAAGGTACAATAAACAGCGGAGACTCATGGGTTTATAGGACTTGGCTGAAGGGTCACAGGCGTGACTGGCAGTGCCAAGATTCTGACCACAGCCTTCAGGTCAAGTCCAAAGATCCATGTGCAGCATGTGGCTGAGTGTGTTGTCTCCCTTGCAGCCATAGTGTGTGGTGGGTCATCCTCACTGAGTAGAGTTGCTTGGCTTGAGAGCTGCCTGGAGATTAGGAAAGCACACCTCTGACTGTGTCTGGGTGGGTCATGGGGTGTGATTTGGGTGCTGCATGTGGTCCCTAGACTCCTTTCTGCTACTCTTCCCTGCCCTGCTCTTCTTCTCCACCACCATGAAGTAAGCAGCTGTGCTCTCTCACACACTTCCACTGTGATGTTCCAGGTGACCATGGCCTGACTCCCCAGGAACCGTGAGCCAAATTAAAGTTCTCTTCCCACAGGTTGTGGGTGTTTTTTTCCTAGTGCCAGGAAAAATGACTGATACAGAGAGGCAGTAAAATAAAATCCATTTCTTGGTATGCTTCAATGCCTTCCTGTTCTTCCGGCTGCTCTGTCCCATCAATCCATCCCACCGCGGTCTTCAGGCTCACCCCAGTCCCGGTTTTCTGTTCAGTCAGTTTCCTGCCTATCCTTTTCAAACAGGACATGAAATGTAGGAGACCAGGCACCCTGGGAAGAGCCCTCAAAAGCTAACTGATGGGTCAAGGAAGTAATTTCCGAAACAAATGCTTCAGCGACAAGTACCGCCTGGAATACATCGATTATCGATTATAGGGCCCAGCCTTGGCTTCACTCTGGGGTGCTGGGGTGGCACAAGGGCCTCTCTCTCTCCTCCTGTGTTCAGTCACAGGAGACCTCTACAGTAAGCCAGATGTTTCTTTTGGAGAAAGGTCTGGGTATTGACCTGGAGATAGAAGAAAGGGAGTGAGCCTCGGACTTTTGAAGTCCTACAAGGTCTGCTACAACCAGTAGTTCTCTGTTTTGTTTGTCTAGGTTTGGGAGTAGTTTGGTTTGATTTTTGGTTTTTACATAAAGCACTGGCCTTGACCAGCTTAGGGATTTAAG